CCTGCACCAACAATCGGAATGTGACTTAACCAGGCACCTTGTGTCACCCTCACCAAGTCTGGCTGTCCCTGAACCTCAGGGGCAGGGGAGGGCGGTGCTTTGCAGGCAGGCCTGACAGCGCCCGTGGAGCTCGGTGTGTGACAGACTAATTGTATTAAACGGGCACAGGCGCAGTGGAAGCCCTGGGCCCACGAGGGCTCTGTGCTACTGTCCAAGTTTCCAGGCTCCTGGGCTCCTCCAGCCCTCTCCCTGGCCCTCCCCCTCCACACCGTGCGCTCTGGGCACCAAGGAGAGAAGCCCGGACTCCTGGCAGCCGCTGTGACAGCAACAGGGACAGCAAGAGTGGCTCCTCAACCCACAGCTGGGAGCTGAGGTCTGAGAAGCCCATCTTGGGGCCTGCAGAGAACTGGGAGATTGGACCTGACCACTTTGAAATGCAGCGGAGCAGAGCGCGTGAGGGGAGGAGCGGCCTCTCCATATGAAAATCCCTCTGGAATTTGTTTAGCATGAAATCAAATCTCGCTACGCCCAAATCAGTTTTGCTCCAGTCAGTTCGTGGGCGCACATCGCATGGCCAGATCAGGTGTGCTGTTTTCCGTTTTCTGTGGGGTTGCTGCCTGAAGGGCCTTCATAACCATCTTAGTGAATGGGAGGGCCCTCACAATCGTCCGTGTCCCTCAAGTCCCTGAAGCTCAGAGAACACTGTTCTGATACAGAGACACCCCTTGCCCGAGATCCCTCTGCCGTTGCCAGTACGCAGTAAACGTTCACCCCTACAGCGACACAGAACAGGCTACCACCGAGGTTACACACGCATGCTCCACAGCCCTGCAGCCATCACCCATGCCTCGGGCCCTGATGGACTCCCGTGCCATGGGATGGCCACCTTAGTCACCCACCAAGCACTGTTCCACTTACCCGCTCACCCACTAGCACCGCAAGGACCCGCGGAGAACCTGTTCTGGGCTCGCTGGGAGCCAGAGTGAGAGGGACTCCCAGTGGCCAAGGAGGCCTGACATGTGACCCCTGTGATCCAGGGCCAGCAGGTCCCAGAGAGCTTCTATGCCTGCCGCTTTCCAGATGGGAACCAGGCTGGAGAGGGAAGGGACTTGTCTCCGGTATCACTCTGAGTGGGCAGGGTTGCAGGCTGGAGCAAGCAGGTGGCCTCCAGGTCCTTGGGGCGGGCCATGGGCAGAAGGCTAAGGAGTCCACCTCCAGGCCCCAGAGTCCGGGCAGCCAAGGACAGCTGCACCCCTCCACTTCCGAGCAGAGGACGCAATGGCTTGCTTTAGAAGAACAGGAAAATGCACCACGATCTCTGTGTCAGAAGAGACCCCTTGGATACCCTCTGCAGCAGGAAGTTCCCTACAACAGGAAGCAAACTGCAACCACAAGGTTCACACCAGGCCCCTTCACTTGGCCGGTTCAGCTCTGGAGCCTCTCGGAGCAGAAGCTTCTTCCTCCTCTTCTAGACAGAGCAGGGACCTGAGGCTGGTGGCACTCAGTCCTCCACCTACCTGGAGTCCTCGGGGCTCTGGAAGTCCCCTGCGGGTTGTCTTCTGTTATTCTTGTTCTTTTGTAAAGTAGGAGTAATACTACCGGGCCTCACTAAGTGAGATCATGTGTGTAGGTTTCCTCGCAGAGCGGGGGCACCAGAAATGCTAGTTATTATTATGATGCAGTTTCGCCCGCAGGGCCTGATGAGAGCAACGACTTCCCTCCTCTCCCCTCCCTCTCAGGGACTGTGCCCCCTGGCAAATCTCCCCACGTCATTCTGCCCACACCACCTGCTTGGCTCCTGTGTCACCTGCTCAATCGTGTTCTTAGGGTCTGTCTCTAACTTCCTTCTTTGTTTACCTTTATCCTTACCCGAGCATTAGTGTTACCTCTACCCTCACCCGAGCGTTAGCGTCACCTCTACCCTCACCCGAGCGTTAGTGTCACCTCTAC